AAATGCGGGGAAAAACGGTCCCCTTCCCGTTCGGCCCATCCGGCCCGTGCGACAGTCTCGTTGTCCGCCTCCTGGGCGGTGGAACGGAAGGTGCCGCCTACCGGACACTCCATGGACCCGGGTCGTGCAACGAAGTTTTCCAGACTTTTCCAGCCCCCCCCCCCCTACCCAGTCCGTTTGCCACAAAATCATGCCATCAAATACGGAAAATGACACATTTCGGACCGAAACGGCATGTGGAAACGTCAATGTGCCATCTTCCACGAACACTTTTCCAGACTGTGGGGTCCGGGGAAGAGGAAAATGCGACAAAAAAACCACTTTCCAGGAACCCACTTTCTTCCAGTGGGGTTCGAGAAAAGCACTCGCGTCGCCCGTTTTCCAAGATTTTGGCCTGTGGGGTCAGGGCCTTCGCCAGACCCCCACTGGCGGCCCCAACCCTATACCCTAACCATTAGGGGCAAGGGGCAACATGAAATCTCCCCTTCACAGAGAGAGGAAACTATGCAAACTGTATCTTGGCCCATACTGCAATTATAACTCCTTTTTGTGACTTCCGTGTAGTCTCCCCCCAGAAAAAAGAAAAGAAAAGAAAAAAAAAAACATCGGCAGTGTCACACTGGATCAACCATACCCTATCAGGAACGAGATCCCACTAACGATGTATGTGGACTAGTGTGACGGTTGCGGGACGTGCAGGCGACGTCCATGTGGCATCCTTTACTCCGCGATAAATGTTGAAAAAAAAAAAATGCTGCAATTCTGACGACTTAATGTTGTCCACCCACCGCAAACTGCGGTCAGCTGTCAGTGTGTGGATCTTCTGATGATTCCGCTAGTATGGGTCTTGCGGCACGGCACACGAAACGAAAACGAAACGAGTGCATCTGCCCACGAAAGGTGGCGAAAACGAAACGAGTGCATCTGCCCACGAAAGCTGGCAAAATACGCTCGTTACTTTATAGCAAACCGATGAACCTGGCCATTTTCTGCAGGAAGATGCACTCGTTTCGTTTTTCGTTTTGTGTGGCGTGGGGCGACGCCCTATGTTGTGCATGTGGACGGTTCGTGGAACATGTACATGAGGCCAACACACAACACACATTGTTAACTTTCCCATTAGCCAAGTGTCCACTTGCATGTGGCTGTTCCGATAACACCGACTTTCCCCAACGTGGGAGTCACGGAATTACAGACAAAAAAAAAAATTAAAAAAAATACACATAAGTTGTGGAAGACTTTGACACCAATTGACATCCCTTAATGATGAGGAAAGTCCTTTTTTTTTTTTTATGAGGAAAGTCTTACGCCGAAAATTTCATTTTCGGCCACTTTTGAACGCATGGGCAACAACGCAAAAGCAAGTGGAAGGTGCGTGAAAATCCAACCCAAAAACGTTGGTACGATTTTCATGACCCCCAGAGGAGCACCGCAACAAAAACAAAAGAAATGCCACCCAATGGGAGCCCCCCACGCCGAAAACCAAGAAAAACAACACCACTGATCACCGGTCTCATCAACGGCGCCAAAGGGTCAGACGCCCTATCTGCTACTCCACATACATGGGTAGTGGGTGGGATCTCGCTCCAGGTGCACTGCCGGCTTCATCCGAATACGATGCACTGTCATTATAGCTGTATTGGGGCCAACTTTGAGTCTAGATACAGCTATTGTAACTGTATTGGGGTGAAGACGGTAGTGGGACCCATTAGACCTACAGCACTAGCCGATAGAATACGAAGGGAAAAAAAAAAGAAAAAAAAAAAAAGAAACAACCCACTAAGTCTAGTGGCACGATTTCTCAAAGTTAGGCCTTAGCCTTCGGCCCTTCTTTTCAAAGATGCTCATAACTCGACAAGCTGAAGGCTCCCACGTGGTCCTTCGGGACATCTGTTAAAATTGGAATAGAAAGAGAAGATTAGCATGGCCCCTGCCCAAGGATGACACGCATAAATCAAGAAATGGTCCAAATAATAAATAAATAAAAAAGGCTCCCACGTGCCGGCTTTTCTCGGGTTTGTTATCAGCTTCAGCTCCTCCAGGCTCTCCCACTTCGTGGCCTTCGAATACGGCCGAACATACCATGGGAAAAGTCGAATTGAATGAATCTTCCCCTAGAACATGGAAAGATGCACCGCCATCATGTTCTTCGCTTGTGCATTTGGTGAGTAGTGTGGCAAGGCCTGATGTCGGACTGGTGGAGCCTGCAACTAGCTAGAACATGGAAAGATGCACCGCACCGATTTTCCCGAAGTAAGTCAGTGAAGCACAAGCGTTTTTCATGCGGTGCCTTTTTTTTTTTTTTTTTTTTTTTTTAAAGGCTAATTCTTTAAGCCCAACCAATTCAATGACCTGCCGAGTCTGGACAGGACGGCCTTTCAGGCCTTTTTTGTTGTCATTACAGTATTACAGGGAACCCCGTAGCAGCCACATCCGTGCTCAAGCCTCCAACGAGGGAACATGGGAGCTGCACCCACCAGTGCCGGTGCCTTTTTCTTGTCCTCCCTGCCCAACAACCTGTTGTGTAAAAAGAAAACAAAAGAAAACAAAAGAAAACAAAAGAAAACAAAAGAAAACAAAAGAAAACAAAAGAAAGAAAAACATTTGTGTCACTACAGCAGTGTCAAACCGGATAAAAAAAAAAAAAAAAAAAAAAAAAAAAAAAAAACGGATCAACCATACCCTCTATCAGGTGCTGGCGGCTTCATCCGAATACTGTGCACCATGGACGCCACTTCGTCTTTTCTTGCCTATTTCAAACTAAAAATGTGACTCAGGAGAAAGAAAGAAAAAAGAAAAGAGAAAAGGCTAGTTGTTTTAAGCCCAATCAATTCAATTGCCTGTCTAGTCTGGACAGGCTGGCATTTGAGGCCTTTTTTATTGCGATTATAGTATTATATAATTTATATTTTATTCTATGGGGAACCCTGTAGCAGCCACATAAAGTGGGACATGAAAAAAAAAAAAGAAAAAAGAAAAAAAAGCGATACATTGAGCGAGGGAACA